CTCCCGGAGGGGTGAGTGGAGAGGAACCAGACCACACTCTCAGGTCTGATGTCAATAGACCAGAGGTACCGTCTCCTGCAGGGCAACGGTTAGTGGTCATGAAGAACAAAGCAGTTACTTTGAGTCTTCCTCTTTCCTGTTCATTCCATCTTGTCCATGAAATCCACCCTCCATCTTCATGGGTTTGTATCTTCTTTTTACTCCTTTATTGTCATTTCAGTTGTTTCAGGAATGTGTTCAATCTACTAGGTTGAGCCAAAAGTCTACCAACCAATCACTTTAAAAGGGAACTTGTAGGATGGAGTCTAACTGAAAGATGAGGACTGTCTGTAACTATCACTTCCACCCTTTTCCACCATTTGAGGCAGCTTTTCTCAGATCTTAAAATGTCAATGAAGTGTTCAAATTGTGCTGCTTTATGAGAACAAAAGTACCCAATATGGTGAATTCACTTTAAAACTGAGCGGTTTTCTAAAACAGCTTTGATCCTAAGTATCTTGACTTCTGCCTTTTCTGATCTGCAGTAAGCACCAAGCTTATGTTTGCAATAAAATCAACCAGCTCAAAAGAATTTCATTCTGATTCTGTCACCACAGACAATACTATATTGAACATGCTGGCCAAGCTCTGAAATCTACCTGTCATTGTTGTCTGTAACTTATCTTAAATAAGATGATATAGTTAGAAAAATATGGTTCTAAAATACATCTCCCTATACCAGAATCTTCTTTAGTTTTGAAATGGCAAAGACAGTAAACAGTTACTAGAGGATAGTGATACACAAGAAATGGTCAAATTCAGCTTTATGTTATATTATTTTTATTTGATATTCTCTTTTCTAATAACTGAGATATAGTAGATTCTCAACCTAAAAAAAAGAAACTTGCTTTTTATCTCTGGAGTGTACACTGCAAAACTAAAAGGTAAACCTGGTCCAGACCCCTCACTCCTCTGCCGGCACTTCAGCTGCGTGGGCCTGCATGTCTGAGGCTGGGCTTACTCAGTTCAGATGCTCTCTCCATCTTAAAAAAGTTACCGACTCTGTAAATTATGTAATCCCTCTAATCTCAGTTTCCTCATTTACAAAACAGAAACAGGAGGATTTCTAAGGAAAAGTGATGAGAATTAAATAACCCATAGAAAGCCATGATGTCATGCCTGGGAGGCAGGAAATGCCCAGTGAAAGTTTGTTGAGAAAATAAAATTTCTGTCCTAATACAGCAGCTACCCTATGTACCTTGAAAGCTTACAGAGGTCAAACTTTTTGACAGCCAGGCTTAAACATCATGAATGCTTTACTGCAATAAAACCATACAAGTTGTATTTGGCCAAAATTCAAAGTTACTTATTCATTAAATTTTTTTTTTAAATTAAAGTTTGAGATTTCTATCTCTTTATTTTGCTCTTCTAAATCCATACAATTCTATAAAGGGACAGTTACCTCCTCAGGTACTATTTTTTTTTAAACCTAGCGTTTAAAAACCTAGAGTCTGAAAAACTCACCAGAACCCTTTCTCAGTGCTGCCTCTCGACATGTCCCAACCTGGCCTGTGACACACACTGGTCCAAGTGAAACCTTAGAACCAACCAGAGAACCCTGACTCAACAAAACTCGAGAGGTACAGTCTAAAAAATAGTGCTGAGGGAAGCTGGGTTCATCTTCCAAAGGCTGACGAATGAATCTATACATCATCAGAGAATATACAAACCTGGGGCAATTTATTACATGGAGTATCAGTTACTTAAAAACATCAGCAAGGTACTGACACTCTGAGAGCACCTGGAGCAAACCCTTCTGGGAAACTCTGACGTCAGAGGCTGAAGAGGCTTCTGTAAATAAACTAAAACCAAGTGACTGACTGCACAGTCAAGATGCACCAGATAATAAAGGCAAAAAGCAAAAAAATAAATAAATAAATAAATAAATAAATAAATAAATAAATAAAGGCAAAAAGCAAAATAAATTCAGGAAGGTAAACAGATTCACTGCCTTCCATTCCCTGATGTTCAACTGACTTCATGTCTTTCCTATGGAAGCTCAACAGAGACACCTGAAAGTGCACCGAGAAGGCTGCCTTCGATTTGCGCTCATGCGGGACAGAGGTGAGGGCAGCCCAGCAGGTGCAGGGAAAGCAGCGGGCCTGGTGTCAGAACGTGCGGGTCGGGCAGGGCTGCGGCTCCCGGACACTCAGTTCTCTCAGCTGCAAAGCAGCAGGCAGCAGTCTGCCCCTCAGAGCTGGGACGAGGAAACACGGGAAAACGAAGGAAAACACCTGGAACGGTGCATCCGATAGAAACGTGGGTGAACCACAAAGGAGAGCCACAAATGGAATTTTAAATAAAAAAATAAAAAGAGGCAGGTGAAATTAAGTTTAATGATACTTTTTATTTAACTCAATATACTAAAAAAGATTACCATTTCAACAGGTAAACTGATATGAGACTACTGAGATTTTTTTTTTTTCCTTTTTTTTTTTTTGGTACTAAAGTCTGTGAAAATCAGCGTGTTTCTGACGCTCACAGATCAGCTCAATTCAGACCAGCCACCCACAGGAACGCACGGGATGGCGCAGCATGGAGCCCAGGAGGGCCTGAGCCTATTTACCAGACCCTAGCAGACAAACCCTGTGGGGCTAAGGAGATCAACCATATCAAACAGAGCTTGTATTTTCCTATCTTTGGTATAGTATATAATACCTAATAGGTAATACTGCAGCAAGAATTGGTCGGTATCATCTATACTGACTAGACTCAGTATTTATCCAAAATAAGAGCAACCCCAAATTATTATAAGCCACTGTCATTCATTTTATATTTATTTTTGTGGTTAATTTTGTTTATTAGGATTTGAATTACGTATCAATCTCACATAGAATCTAATAATCTCAAAAAAAGAAAATATAACCTGACATAAGAATAAGTACACAAAAAATTTGAACTACAAGTTACAATTGATTATACCTTCTGGCAAAGAAACAGGAATAGGAAACAAAATATTTCTCTATTTTACTAAACTTTTCACTTTATAGGACCTACCATTAGAAAGTCATGTTTAATAGCTTTCTTGTAATTTTTTTCTTATAAAAGGTTAACCGCATTCTCTAAATAGGATGACCACCTATTATGACAACTCAGTTACATGTGAATGTAATTTTAAGTAAATATAGTATTGAAGTGATGCTATATTTACTTCAGAACAAGTCAATGGGGATGAAGCACAAAATATGACTTGTGTTACATTTGTTACTAAGGTAACACTGAATAGTACATAGTAGGCAAATTCTTGTATCCTGAGCTCAAAGAATAGGGTGGAAGATGAACAGAAACCGTTTCTGAACTGCAAAGTCATCATGGAGCAAAGCACATGCACCGTGTTTCTGCAGCTCCGAGTCTGCACTCATTTCCTGTGTGGAGAAACTCCTGAATCATGTCACTCTCATCCACTTTTGTGGGCCGCTCCACAGTGCAGCACAAGTGGTCAGATGAGACACAAGAGTGAAATGGACATAGGACTGTGGGTGGGCGACTGCTACCTCATTTCAAGCCTGACAGGGACCATTTAGTTAACAGGACTTCAGCTTTACCAAGTGTTAGGAAGTTCTTAACAACCAAAACTCATTGGACTCTAATGTCCATTTACTGTGCACTCAAAAGATGGTGCTTCTGGAATACAGGCCCCCTCCCTCGAGCATCTCGTCGGATGCTCAGCCACAGGGACCCATAAGCTGAATCGCTAGTCGAGGTCCTCTGTGGATTCCCAGCCCAGGACTCACCTCCCCCGGCCCTGCTTGGGCTCACGCACAAAGCAGCCCAGCTGTGGAGGATGAGCTTTCAACACCCACACCGTCACAGTCATACTGTCTCCGTCTAAACTCTCCCGAGAAAGATGCCATCCCCCGCCGAGCCTTGCACCTCCCAGGCCACCCGTGCTGACCCCAGTCACGGACACCAAACACCACGACAGTCACCACGGTCCCTCACACGTGCAGACTCACATCTGGCATTTCTGTAGAGAAGGAAGGGGTCCTGTAGCAGGAAGTCCAGGTCTTTGGTGATGGGCTCTGTCCTGTTCTCCATGCTCAGCCTGTTCATGATGGTGAAGCCGTGCTTCGGAGACGCGGACCTAGACGTCGCCAGGGCAGGGGACACGGAGGGGGGTGTTCAGAGCAGAGCGCTTCCAGGACAGGGGCAGCCATCGCACCTTCAGCCTTCCTGCCCCTTCACCGTGGGCCGCACCAATATGCGGACATGTACGGTGAAGTCCAGCCCTACAAATCTAAGGGCGGGGGGCGGGGGGCACAGACACACAGCTTGTTTCCCTACCAAGGCTGCAAACTTTAAGGCAGACATGGTAACCACTTAAAAAAAAAAATACTGACACATACTTTTAAAGAAGCCTGACCGTTGATATAGAGTGTATATCACAGTTACGGGAAATGTTAGTGTTGGTCTGAAATTGAAAGCTGCATAATTTCTTACAGAAACAATGCAACTCTGGTCAATGAACTAGTGAGGATACACAGTACAACTAAAACTTTATACAATTTAAAGCAAAGAGCAGATATCTACTTTTCTTCAAGATAAAGCCAACAGTCTCACAGATAAGCTACTATAACATTTTTTGCCCATAGAACTGTGCATTTAGTGACTTTAGTTTTAATTTTGTTCAATAAACCTGCAGTGCCTACTCTCTGTCAGGCAGGGAGAACCCTGATCACAAAGAAACTAACAACTACAAGTGCATCTGTCTACCCTTGGAGGGTAGCCAGACACCAGCCCATTGTGCAGCTTCCGTAACAAAACAAGGCACACGTGCAGGCTGCAGACTCACTCTGGGGCCGGGGACACGCCCACAGGGATGCTATGCGCAACCCGGAGAAACGGGGTCTGCATCTCAGGTTTTACTTCACCTCCAACCATCTGATCTACTGACCACAGCTCTCTTTTGAGATTTATTTTAAAACTGAGGGAAGGCCATCCTTGCCTAATTTATTTTACTTAGCGGTAGAGTGGTGCTGGGCATAAAGGCAGTACCAGATGTAATCACGACCATCATTTCAAGTTAAATTCTGGGGCAGTGTGAAGAGTGACTCCCAAAGCTCTCAACAGAGGGTGCTCTAAAAACCACCATGGGGCGTAACTCTATTACAGACAGACAGACATGGGGGGAAGCAAAGACATGGTTTTTAAAATGGATTAGGTGTTTTTATAGAATCAGAATTTGATTGTTCCGGTATTTCGGCAGCTCTGCAAAGCCTCTGTGGCTGTACAGGCACTGCCTGTCACATGATCCCAGGGATGGTCTAGTCACACCATGGTTTATCTTCAAAGGTGAAGGGGCGTATAAACACAGATGAGAGAGACAGTGTGTGTGTGTATAAGAAGAGTCTGCACCAGGTCTCTGTCCTGTATCTCTGAAACCTGCTGATGGTGACGGGACTCAGCTATGACGTTTTATGTGAATGTTTATGTGAACAAGAAGTTTAGCTGTTAAGACAGTATTCACACTACAGATCTCTGTGTATGTGTGTTAACTATACAGATATTAACAATATCTGATAAAAAATTACCCTAAAACATGAATTTATTAAATCTTTCCTAAAACTTATTTTGTTAGTTATACAACGGAGGACTCAGAGACATCTTTAATCTTGGATCATGCTTCTTTAAAGAGTCAGAGGCAGGGGTGGCCAATAACATTCTCTTCCAGACACTGATTAAATGATCTAACATTCTCAACAGTGCACTCCTAGCTCCTCATCAGTTCACTGTATTCAAGTACTTTGTACCACTCACTTGAGCTAAAGAAAAAATATTTAATTCTGTTTTAAAAAGAACACAAAGATTTAAGTTCAGCTATACTGGAGTTCACATTATATTCTGCAATTAGTATTCACCACACTAGACAGATGACATTATTCAGTATTTCCTTCCGTATGTCAACCAGTTACTTCAAACTCAGACTCAGTGCCTGTACTTCTCTGAACTATAATAAAACTCCACTTGAGGAAGGGAGACACACAGAGCTAAAGACATGACTCAAAGGCTGCCAGCTTTTTTATAAAAGTGAAGGACTCTTACCTTGTGTAAACAAATAAGGTTCCCTCCACATCAGTCTTTTCCTAAGAAATAAAACAAACAGTAACATAAGCATATTCTCTTCACTAATGGGAAACAGTCACAGAGGTCAGAGAACACAACCATCTTAGAGAACAGGAATTCGATCCTGTTTCAAGTGGGGGTAATTCTTAGGGAAAGGCAAAAAGCAGACTTTGCCAGTGGTGACTTTGCTGCTTAAGCAGCAGGAAGTGCCCTCCTATTGCCATTTACAAACAAACCATTGATGCCTCTCTTTACCAAGCACAGGGGTCACAACACCTCTGGTTGGACAAAAGGAAACAAACACGCTCCATAGCCTCCTAAGAAAGAAGGGATGGTTGTAAATGTGCTGTCCACCCCTCTGTCTCTGGGCTGGGGACAGAGCCAGCCGCAGAAACCACTGGTGTCACACGTCTCTCTCCTCCTCCGTTTTCTGGTTTCCTTTTTTCTCGTCATGTCCTGTCACCTAGGAGAACAGAGGACCGGCCTGTAACTTTACCGCATCTACTACACAGAAGACAGCAATGCAGCTGTGGTTCTCAGACAAATTAATCACCTATCTGGTGCAGAATATTGAAATAAAGTAAGACGGAAACATCACCCAGCTAGGACACAAGAAATCTGCCTCAGAGGAAGTGGGAAACTTGTAAAGTGAAAATGAGAAGTGATCATTTCAGTTCCCTGCGAAGGGCTCTTTTCCAACTCTCCAGGCCCTGATGAAAATGCTCTGCTTACTAAAAAAAAAAAAAAAAAGCTTAGGTATGCATTTGTCTGATTAACTAGTAATTAGACTATGTAAGTCAGAATTTTAAATATACTTTTGCTATTTACATGGCTTAATCTCAGCATTCTATTAAACCTCTCAATACTTTGTTATTTTTTTATGTCCATTAGCAGTGTCATTCAAAATTTAAGTACTCTTGTCTTTTTGGTGAAAAATACTTTCTTTAGGAAACAAAAGTGTAATATTAAAATGATAATTCTGAAGAGGCACACAAGAAATTGGAAGCACGAGCTTCTCCATGCTCAAGTAATTTCATCATCCTTAAATGGATTAAGTAAAGTGACCACTTGCTATGAAGACAGAACACTTCTCTGTCTTTCAGTATTTGACTCTGGACTATTTCATCCCATATCCTAGGCAGGCTGTTCATACAGATCAGTGTAGACAAAGCTAATAGCCTCTGACTTGTTTGTTTTTTCCTTAATGAAGCAGTAACAGAAATAACCTTTTCCTTAAGGGGAAAAAAAAGGGCTTTAATGTCCAATTTTAGTTTTGGAAATTCAAAATGAGAATTGTAAAAGGCATGTTTCTCCTGAAATTATTCTGACTCAAAACATGCAATTCTGAATTGATTTATGTTCTTCGTCTCAGTTTCTCCACTGAAAAGGGATTATCAGCTTACACCACCTAGATTTTTTTATTAAAAACATATTTTTCATCAAAGGCTCTATGACACTTTAGATAAAAAAGGCCTTTGGAGTAAATTTCTGGTTTATTATGGCTGAAACAGCTCATATTCATGCATTTTCTTGTTCCCTCCACAGTTATCCAGGGTAACCAGATTTTTTTTCTTTCCAGGCAAAGCCAGGTTTGGGGGTTTGAGAGACAGTGAAAGCAAAATGTTATTAGATCCTTCTTACGTCCTGCAAGTAAAGAAGACTTTTATGTTAAAGTATTAGTTTACAGTTCTGAGGGATTTTAGCTTAAATTTTAAAAGTACAATCTAATGATTTTATACTATATTATAAAAATTAAGAAGTGCTAAAACAATTTAGCAGTTCAAAATTTAAAATAATAAAGTAGAATGTAAAATAATGCTAGTCCACAAACTACTGGGGCTTGTCAGACTTGTGGACACTTTTGAAACAACTTAATCTATATCTGATTATTCTGTTAAAATAATGAAAAGTCAATCTCCATTTACCCTCTAAATCTGCTTTTCTCAATCACATATGCAGCATGTGAGTCACCTAAGAAGCTTTCAACAAATAACAAATGCCTGGGCCTCATACCCAGAGACTCTGATTTGGTGGGCTGTACTTTCTTTTTGGCAGCACTGGGTCTTCGCTGTGGCACTCGGGCACTTCATTAGTTGTGGAGCACAGGCTTGAGGGTGAGGGGGCTTGAGGGGGAGTGGGCTCAGCAGCTGTGATGCAAGGGCTCTCTGGTTGCCCCCTCTCTAGTGCCAAGCTCCTCTGTCCATGGGATTCTCCGGGCAAGAACACCGGAGTAGGTTGCCATTTCTTTCTCCAGGGGATCTTCTTGACCCAGAGATCGAATCCGGGTCTCCTCATTGGCAGATGGGTTCTCCACCACCATGCCACCAGGGAAGTCCTAACTTTCCTTAGAGCAGCTCATTTTCCGTCCCTTCTTCATTCCATATTCCTCCTGCTGAATGCCTGGAGTCATTCTTCATCCATATCCAGTGTCATAAGAACCCTACTCCTTTATGTCCACCTCCAAGTACTGTCTCCTCTATCTCAAGAACGTCCCACACACTTTCATCAAGTTTCTGTCTAAAAGCCCCCACTATGGAGGCAGATGGAGACAGGGTGACAGTTCTTTTGCCCCCAGCAACTGCCCTGCAGCTAAAGCAGGTCTCTGTCTTTTTTTCCCCTGCCACCACAGCCTTGAAGATGAGTACTCTGAAAGAATGACCTTTTGTGGGATGAATTATGCACTGTCTGAAGGCAACAAGTCCAGGAAGCAGGAAAACATAACTCCTGTAAATAATGCATTGTGACACCTGGGCTTTCCGATGAGGCTGTAGAAAAGCCTTGCCAGGTACCCAGTATAGTTAGTTACTCGGTAACTATGGTAACACGTGCCTGACTCACTGACCCTGTCCAGAGCCTGTAGGAAACCACCGCTATTAAAGGGGGACCCCTTTCTGTACACGTTAACTTCTCTGAATCCCCAGACTCTCGCCCTGCTGTCAAGTCACTCCAGGGAACGACACCTCAGGCCCTCATCTCTACTTTGGGATTTCCTCGGCAGAAGACAGACACTATGCCTCTAGCACTTTTCTACACAGCAGGAAATAGCTACTTGTAGAATATCTTTATTTGAAAAGATGCCGTTGAAACTGTCCACCATGTCGGTCAAAGTCCTTTACACAAACACAGCCGACACTCTCCTCCGAAAACAGGGGACACACAGCCAGCTTCCTAACCCGGGACCACGCGGGACCCGCGGCCTTCCATTCCTGCCCTTTTCGGTTAATTTCCTCGGTTACGAACTTAGAGCAAAGCAGTTCTCTTCTCTCTCACGTCTGGACCCACTTAGTGTTTTCGCTCTTGTGAGTGGCTTTCCGGGGGACTGCAATGACCGGCTGCGGGAGAGAGGTGGCGAGGCGACGTGAACGCGCTGGGCTGTTTCCCGTCGGGGCTCTCCTCGCGGCCGGCTGGGACATGCCGGGAGAGGTGTCCGACCCGCTCCGCGAGTCTGGTCAACGCCACGGGAGGGGCCCGGGGACGGGCGGTCAGGGTCGCCGGACCTAGGGACTGCGGGAGGGTCGTTCTCGCCCGCCCCGCCCCCAGCCTCTCCCCGGCCCCGCCCGCCCGCACGTACCCACTCGTTGGCCCGGTGGCCGAAGGTGTACAGGGCGACCTGGCTGGCCACGTCCACAATGCGGCTGATGTAGGGGTCGTGGCGCCGCAGGGCCGCCAGGCTGATGTCGCGCCCCTTCCCCGCCGGGCCACCCGCCGCCGCCATCTTCCCGTCAGCCCGCGGGGCGCCGCAGCCCTCTCGGCTGAGCGCTGAGCGCGCAGGCGTCACTGGTCGATGGCCACCCCGCGCGGGCCCGCGATCGTTGCCGCGGCAACCGCCAGGCTGCCCCCGCGCGATGCTGTGAACATCCCGGGTACCCGAGCTTAGCTGGACGCCTGGCACTTCTGTTCCTGGCGCTCCGCGGTCAGAACCTGTAATGATATACACGCCTCGAGCGTGCGTAACTGAACACGGAGGGAATACCGCGATTTCTCGTGCTCGGACGCCGGGTGGTTCGCAAAATGTGGTCCTCGACTCCGGGGCGGGGGGTGGGGGGGCCCTGAGACCCTTTCAGAGGGTCTACGGGTCAGAACCATTTTCGCGACAATCCTAAGACTCACGTGACTCATGCCCTGTGCTTGCTTTGCACGAATACTGCAAAGACAATGGTGGGAGAAAGTGAAGGTGTCTTAGCAGGAATCCTGGCAGGCACCGCGCTTTACAGGACAGTATCGCTAGACAGTATACGCAATAAGGCAGAAAAATCATTACTTTTATTGCATTCAACTCTTTGGTACACTTTTAAAATTCTGTGTGAAAAAATTAGGAAGAATGCGTAAAGCACATGCGCCAAGCTGCCATATTTACTTCCGGGAAAACACTTGGATGCTTGAGTTGCAAGCTGAGCTATTTTTTTTTTTTTTTTTCTTTTCCCCATTGGTTTTTTTTCTTTGAAAGGAAGATGGACAAAGTATGGTTATTCAGGAAGGCATCTGACAGACACTTTTAGAAAATAAATAACGTGCACCTGTCACTTCCAGGAAAACAAGGGGGTAATTATTGTCGCCAGTGATCATTTTTGAGCTTTCAAGCAAGATTGAGAAGTTTACAAAATGTGTACCCACTGCCATGAGCCTGACAGCTTCTCAATACACTAAGTGTTTTCTGATAAGATGGCTGAGTGCTTGGAAAGCCTGTGATGAGGGATTTGCTTTTAAAAACTTGAGAGAAAGGTGAACTGTTGATCACTGTGGTACATGTATAACTGGATGTACATTTTTTGTTAAAATGTTTCAATAAAGTTTTAACATTTCTTTTATAAAGAAATTTGCCTTTGAGTCTTGGGGGTCTTTAGGCAAGGTCTACCTTCTGATAATTTCAGGTAGTATAGTTGTCTCTCTAGTTCTTGGTCCAGTGCTTTGTGCTGAATAGAGATTTGTAAATGCTGATTCTGTTTTACTCAGTCGTAAGTGGGTAGAATGTACTCATTAAATATCAGCTTTCTATAAGAGCCCATGATTTACAGAACACTGAGATCTAAGTTGGCATGAAAGAGAATACAATAACAAGTCCTGAACTTCCAGAGTTTACATCCTAAGGAAGATTAAAAACTTGAAAGGTTTATTTAATTTTCCATATTATAAAGAAAACAAGAAAGAAAAGGTGAAAGACCTTGAAGATTAGAGGTCACACTCAGAGAAAGAAGATATATAATGCTCCACTGTCTTTATCATTGCTGTGTTGTTTATCTCCTAGTCCGAGAGCTTTGTTCTCTATCTNCCCCCACCAAAGCTTAAATATCTAAGCTTCTAGGAAGAACACAGACTTTTGTCTAATTTCTACTTGAATAATCAGTGTTTGTAAATTTGGGTCACCATCACTTATCCAAATATACTAAGTTGCAGGCTCCAGGTTAATAATAGGCCATTTAAAATGGGCAAATTCTTTTAAAATTCATGTAACTTCAACTTTCACTGCCTTCCGTAGTGTGGTCACACTTACACTGTGTTTTCAGAAACCTCATCATGGTGCACCCGTGTGTGCTGAGTTGTTCGTGTCTGACTCTTTGTGACCGCATGGACTGTAGCCCGCCAAGCTCCTCTGTCCATGGGATTCTACAGGCAAGAATACTGGAATGGGTTGCCACGCCCTCCTCCAGAGGATCTTCACGGACCAGGGATTGAATCCGCATCTCCTGCAGCTCCTACATTGACAGGCGGATTCTTTACTGCCACTGGGGAAATCCCTCATCATGGCACCTTGGACGAATATTGCAGTCTTTGATTATTTTATAATTGTTGTTATGAGATAAGATCTGCATTAACATTTGGTGTTACAAAGTTGTAAACCACAACTTAAAACAAGTTACAGTATGATTTAAAAAATAATGTCTGGGTTTAGGTTGTTTATACCGTTGCAAAGACTAACATAAAATTCACCACTTAAGGTAATTGTAAGAACACAGTATGCTTAAATTATTTAGAGATAGATATGAAACTGGAAAATGTTTGGTTTTCTAGCCACGTATGGATGTTTGTATACAAATGTAAACTGATGTTTTACAGCTTGCTAGTCTAGAAACGTAAATACACAGCCTGCTCCATCAGTACTCCTTACTGTGTTTGTGTGTGTGTGTGTGTGTGTGTGTGTGTGTGTGCTCAGTCGTGTCTGACTCTCTGCAGCCCCCTGGGATCTTCCCCACCCGGGGATCAAACCTGTGTCTCCTACGTCTCCTACAATGGTAGGCAGATTCTTTACCACTGTGCCACCTGGGAAGCCCTGACTCTGTAAAGAACCTCTAAGTTGTGCATTTGTCAGGTTGTAGAATGTATTGGAAGGGAAAGAGGAGCTTCCAGGATGCCCCTAAGAGTTTGTGACCCTAAAATGACTTAAATACCCTCTGATACCTTGCTGGTGCTGCCTATATGGATTCCCAGCTCTTTATGCTGGACATTTTATACCAAAGGGTGACACGAGTGAGCAGTGAATGCCCTCTTTCTCCCAGTGGAAGAAGACGGTCTGAAGCTGTGTGTGTTATCAGTTGTTCTCAATTCATGGTCCGTTTCTTATTGAAGTGGCAGAGCACAACAGGAAAGGTACTCCCTTGGAAAGGGAAACTAGTTTTACTTATTTTTAACCTCACCTGGTACTTCAGTTCAGTTTAGTCCTGTCCGACTCTTTGCAACCCCATGGACTGCAGCACACCAGGCCTCCCTGTCCATCACCAACTCCTGGAGTTTACTCAAACTCATGTCCATTGAGTCTGTGATGCCATCCAACCATTTCATCCTCTGTCGTTCCCTTCTCCTCCCACCTTCAATCTTTCCCAGCATCAGGGACTTTTCCAATGAGTCAGTTCTTTGCATCAGATGGCCAAAGTATTGGAGTTTCAGCTTCAGCATCAGTCCTTCCAATGAATATTCAGGACTGATTTCCTTTAGAAGGGACTGGTTGGATTTCCTTGCAGTCCAAGGGACTCTCAAGAATCTTCTTCAACACCACATTTCAAAAGCATCAATTCTTCGGTGCTCAGCTTTNTTAAATAAGCAGAGTGATGATATACAGCCTTGACGTACTCCTTTCCCAATTTTGAACCAATCCATTGTTCCATGTCTGGTTCGTTCTGTTTCTTCTTGACCTACATACAGATTTCTCAGGAGACAGGTCAGGTGGTCTGGTATTCCCATCTCTTGAAGAATTTCCCACAGTTTGTTGCGATCCACATAGATAAAGGCTTTGGCATAGTCAATAAATCAGAAGTAGATGTTTTTTCTGGAACTCTCTTGCTTTTTTGATGATACAACGGATGTTGGCAATTTGATCTCTGGTTCCTCTGCCTTTTTTAAATCCAGCTTGAATATCTGGAAGTTCACAGTTCATGTACTTCAGGTACTGGAACTTGGGGATCATCATATCACAACTTCACAGGGTAGATGAGATGAGAAGAAAATGTCCCCAGAAAAGATTCGCAATGTGTAAAATGTTCTGCAAATGAAAACACTATTACTGTTATAATTATCCTCACCATTATTTCTAGTAGAAGCCTGGGAGGGATTCTTCTTGTCTAATTACCCAGCCAGGGCTCAGATCATCTCAACAAAGTTCAGCATAAGTGACAACGGATACATTAAATCCCAAGGCAGTTCATCCCAATATTTTTATGTGATAGAGGATGTGAACTGAGACGTATTTATCAGGAAGTTCACAATTAGAGGAAGAAATGATGTAGGAGATAGAGCTCAATGTCCCACGAGATGGCAAAGGGGTTAACATTTTTTTTTTGGATGCGCTGGGTCTTTGTAGTTGCATGCGGGTTTTCTCTAGTTGTGGCCAACAGGGGCTACTCTACAGCTGAGGTACACAGACTTCTCTAGTTGCAGAGCATAAGCCCTAGGACATGCAGGCCTCAGGAATTGTGGCAGGAAGGCTCAATAGTTGTGGCTCACGGACTTCATCACTCGGTTACTCGGCAGCATGTGGAATCTTACCAAACCAGGGATCGAACCTGTGTCTCCTGCATTGGCAGGCAGATTCTTAAACACTGGACCACCAGGGAAGTCCCAGGGGTTAAGACTGAAAACAGTCCTCAGAAGGTCTTGAAATAGAGTAAGAAGCGGCAGAAGTGGGGAGGGAAGAGGCCTGATGGGGAGGAGAGAGTGGCCTGGAGAAAGAGTCAGAACATCTCCAGTCTGGACCCAGCAGCTGCTTGGACCGAGCCTCTGCTTGCCTGACCCAGAGAGGGCCTGGGGTAACCAGGCTTCTTTGGAGTGAGGACCATTCTTGCGTGTTCTCTTTTGGTGCCTCTTTGCCTCTCTGCCACTCTCAAAAAATATAGTCTTTCCACACCTATCGTCAGGGGTCAGGTGATGGTTTCATGGGCCTGGAGGGCATCTAAGATAGCATCTTTTCAGTTGCTGCCCAGAGCCCAGAGCAGGCTGCGAAGAGGAAGGGCCTTGAGTCCTCATGAAGAGAAAACAGGCTTAACACCCTAAGACCTGAGTGGTGGCTGACATGCATGGGCCCAGTCCCCGGTTACTCAGGGCAGTGGGGTGTAGAAGGGACAGACGGAGGCAGTGGACCCTCTGACTGCTTCATGACTGCCCCGAGGAGGGGATGGCGGAAGCCATGCAGAGACTAGCTGCTGGGTCTGTGGAAACGCAGGCAGCTCTGTGTCCTATAAGAGAGGAAGCTGCAGCTCAATGGGGCTGACTTCAAATGAAGGAGTTTCTTCCAGGG